ACAATCTGGGCACAATCGCCAAGTCTGGCACCAAGGCTTTCATGGAGGCTCTGCAGGCTGGAGCTGACATCTCCATGATTGGTCAGTTTGGTGTGGGTTTCTACTCTGCCTACCTGGTGGCTGAGAAGGTGACAGTCATAACCAAACACAACGATGACGAGCAGTACGCCTGGGAATCCTCTGCTGGAGGCTCATTCACAGTTAAAGTGGACAACTGTAAGTAATGTAAAGCTATTACTTTGTTGCGATTTACAATTTAGTTTTATTGGTAGGGGTACCTACAGGAGGTGCCCAGGGTTGTCTGTAACTTGCATTGACCCATCTTTTCCCCATATAGCTGAGCCCATGGGGCGTGGTACCAGGGTGATCCTACACTTGAAAGAAGACCAGGTAGAATACACTGAAGAGCGAAGAATCAAAGAGATTGTGAAAAAGCACTCCCAGTTCATTGGCTATCCCATCACACTCTTTGTAAGTGCTATTTAAATTGTCTTTTTCCAACTTAATTTACTCAAGTTAAACCTGGGTCATTGACCTAATCAAAAAATCACGGCCATGTTTTTATTCAGGTTGAGAAAGAGCGTGACAAGGAGGTGAGTGACGACGAGGCCGAGGAGGAGGAGAAGGAGAAAGACAAAGATGAAGACGAGGAGAAAGACGAGGACAAGCCCGAGATAGAGGACGTTGGGTCAGACGACGAGCACGACCACGACCACGACCACGACAAGTCTTGTGACAAAAAGAAGAAGAAGAAGAAGATCAAGGAGAAGTACATTGACCAGGAGGAGCTGAACAAGACCAAACCCCTGTGGACTCGTAACCCTGATGACATCACTAATGAGGAGTATGGAGAGTTCTACAAGAGCCTCACCAATGACTGGGAAGACCACCTGGCTGTCAAGGTAGGTCTCCTAGTTTACAGTTTGTCCATATTAGACTTATCTAATACAACTAAGATGACCAAATTTGAAAACGGAGCCTATAACGGACCTAATACAATATTTTTTCCACAGCACTTTTCAGTAGAGGGTCAGCTGGAATTCCGCGCCCTCCTCTTTGTGCCTCGACGTGCTCCCTTCGACCTCTTCGAGAACAAAAAGAAGAAGAACAACATCAAGCTGTATGTGCGCAGGGTCTTTATCATGGACAACTGCGACGAGCTCATCCCCGAATACCTCAGTGAGTATTAACCCAACTGTGGAATTACTAGCTTATACATTTGGTAAATCAAATAATCATAATATATAATCTTGGAAAGTTTAATATATTGCTCACCAGGCTGTCTTTACTCTCCCTGTTTAGACTTCATCAAGGGTGTGGTGGACTCTGAGGATCTGCCCTTGAACATCTCCAGAGAGATGCTGCAGCAGAGCAAGATCCTGAAGGTCATCCGCAAGAACCTGGTCAAGAAGTGCCTGGAACTCTTCACTGAACTCGCCGAGGACAAGGACAACTACAAAAAGTACTACGAGCAGTTCTCAAAGAACATCAAGGTCAGTGTCCTCACTTTGCACTGTGTAAGCTGTTTTCCTGGTCTTGTCACGTTCAAACATTTGGCAGCTACCTTGCATTAAAACCTTGTGCCGTGGTTTGATGCGATGTTAAAAGGTTGTCTATCCTATGTCAGCAGGATGGAGCTTGCTTTTGCTTCAGTGCAACGTTTTAGTTAATCATAACCCTTTGTTCCTCTGACCTTTTACACAGTAACCATCTGTCTGATCCGTTGGCCATATTGTCCTACTGTAAAGCTGCTTTCAGTCTTGTTTTGAGCTCCTTACTGCCATCTTCTGTTTAAACTGAAGCACTCTGATTATCAGTGGTTACAATTTATAGACCAATATCAGTGTTTTTACATTTAACACTGGTATAGTTAATGAAAAGATAATGTCAATTTTGCCAGAATTGAATGTCAACTCAGTTGTCTACTGATGCAACTTTCTTTTAAACTGCGTGTTACTGACATTTAGTTTTCTCTGTCTTTTAGCTTGGCATCCACGAGGATTCACAAAACAGAAAGAAACTGTCTGAGCTGCTGCGATACTACACCTCAGCTTCTGGAGACGAGGTGGTTTCCCTGAAAGACTATGTTACACGCATGAAAGACAACCAGAAGCACATCTACTACATCACTGGTGAGGATGCTCTCCATCTATGGGCTGTTAATGTACATTAAAAAGCTATTTAAAATTAAGTGAACTGAGTTAATTAATGTGATTTTTATGTAAACGTGTGACCACATTACAATGCCTGTATTTCAGGTGAGACCAAAGACCAGGTGGCTAACTCTGCCTTTGTGGAGCGCCTTCGCAAAGCCGGCCTTGAGGTCATTTACATGATCGAGCCCATCGATGAGTACTGTGTCCAGCAGCTGAAGGAGTTTGAGGGCAAGAACCTGGTGTCAGTGACCAAGGAAGGCCTGGAGCTGCCTGAGGATGACGACGAGAAGAAGAAGCAGGAGGAGAAGAAGGCTCAGTTTGAGAACCTGTGCAAGATCATGAAGGACATCCTGGAGAAGAAGGTGGAGAAGGTGAGCAGAAATCAAACAGCATTAAAACAACCCATGAGGTGTTGTATGACTCTATATTGTGTATAATCTACTGTTGTGTTAATAAGGATGAAAATGGTATTAATTCTTGTGACCTCCGCAGGTTACAGTATCCAACCGCCTGGTCTCCTCCCCCTGCTGCATCGTCACCAGCACTTATGGCTGGACGGCCAACATGGAGAGGATCATGAAGGCCCAGGCTCTGAGGGACAACTCCACCATGGGCTACATGGCAGCTAAAAAGCACCTTGAAATCAACCCTGACCACCCCATTGTGGAGACCCTGAGGCAAAAGGCAGAGGCTGATAAGAATGACAAGTCTGTGAAGGATCTGGTCATCCTGCTCTTTGAGACTGCCCTGCTCTCCTCAGGATTCACCTTGGACGACCCCCAGACTCACTCTAATCGCATCTACAGAATGATCAAGCTGGGTCTTGGTGAGTATCTTTGTTTGTTGACCCAATGTAAATCTTTAATGCTCTTTCTTAACTGTGCTCCTTGCAAATTCATGAGCTATGAATTATTTCAGTTCACTGCGCCAAACGTCTGCCAGTAAAGGGATTTTAAATAAACAATAACCTGACTTTCACTGACTCTTAATCTGCCTCCTTCCTTCTCTTTTAGGTATTGATGAAGATGATCTGACACCAGATGATGTCACCTCTGCCCCCACAGAGGACATGCCCCCTCTTGAAGGAGACGATGACGACACATCCAGGATGGAGGAGGTGGACTAGGCCTGTTTCTGTTGCCTGCTAGCATTCAGAAGTAGTGTTGTAAAAAATTTAAAGTTTAATGTTGTAAATGAGCCCGAAGTGTCCCTCCCTTAACCCCTTTTTGACCAAGTTCACTTTATTTTCCCCCTCATATTGGCATGGACCATATGCAGTTCAGATTCATTCCTTTTAGAACTTTATTTTAAAAGTTGACACTTTTTGTATCTTGAGTTTTATTTAATGTGTTTGTTTTTGTATTGATTGACATTCCAATGTTCTTTGAGTGTTTTTACTTTAATTGTAAATATATCAAAATTCATACTGGTACTTGAAACGGGTGGGACCCATGAATAAAGATTTATCCTGCTAACAAGTCAAGTTTTGTTCATCCTTACTGTCTGTCTGATAAGTTTACAACAGATGGATTGCCTATCCATTTATATTTAAGTGGTTAACTGCAACAAGACAATAGAAAAGTAAATATAATTACAGTATTATCAGGTGAAGATAAGTTACATACTTGGGAAAGCAATAAATTGTTTGAACTTCAAACTGCCATGGAGGGGGTGTAAAGATTTACAATTCTCTACAATTCTACAATTGAATAAGTTCAGTAAATTCTAGCTCTACTGCAGGTAAAATGTGGCATGTGCATGTATCATTGACCAGGCAGGGACTCCTTGGCTGACTCCACAAATACCTAGCATAGGACAGGATTACAAAGGCTTATTCAAGGACATGAACTGTGGTTGATAAGCAAATATTACAATACTGATACATTTTACAAGCTGCAGCTGTAGTGATGTGAATATTTCGTAGCCTTTGTGACATAGTTATATGTAACTGATTAAAGATAAGATGAATTGATTCTTCCAAGGACATTGTGTCACAGTCACCCACTAGATTGTTCTGACAGGCTGGACAATAGTATCTGAAGCCAATACAGGAATGATACTGGTGCAGAGACAGGAAATTAATTTATTGCAAGAAAGAGCTGAAAACACTTCATAAATGTAGGACCTTTTGCCATGTCATAGCAGGAAAAATACTAATAACATCAATAATGGCTCTGTTTTGTTCAAGTGTCCTTTAAAATGACAGTGTGACATTTTGCCATATTACCTATAGACAGACAAAAAAAATATCTTGATTTTTTTGGGGAAAATTGGAATTGATGTGTGCAATTCAGGGAGAAAAACAGACACAGTAAGTGACAGTGCAATAGACAGTAGATGGCAGTAATGCAACACTAAGGGTGACTGCTGCTGCGTTCAAATGAAGCTGCTCAAATATTCTAGAAAACTGTGAGGCATAGTGGTGTTTACCAGCCAGAGGAAAATAGAAGTTAGGTTAGGACTGGAACTCATAAGATCTATTGTCACAGTGAAGTTAATAGACTATCGAAACATGCCTCAGAAGAATGTGAGCGATATTCAGTAACAGAAAAAAATATATATATTTCACAACATTCACTTTTTAACTTTGGATTTATAGAGTAAATAAGTGAAAACATTTTTTTTTTTTATTGGAATCATGGGATCTGAAGGATGACAAGCGGTCCACCATGTCACAACCGATGCCTGCTGTGTTATCATATGGCTGTAATAGCCCGCCTGTCACCAGCAGGGAGCTGCCACTGCCGGGCGATACTCAGCGTGTCAATCTGAGCCGTTGGAATCAGCTGACAGACAGCAGCCAATCACAGGCCGAGGACGGGCTGAACCGCCTTACAGTGTGGTGCCCTGAGAGTTGTCAAGGTTTTGATTGTGGAGTATCCGAGACGCGAGCAAGGGCGGCTACGGTTACACAATGCCGAATAAAACGAAAAAAGACAAGGTGAGTTTTTAAGAAATTGCCGTAGAGGTTATGACGATTTGTAATAAAGTTTGCATGAGGTGCATTTGAAGTGTATTTATTGATAACCCGGCCTCAGAAGGAGACAGTGCTGTCAGCGCAGTGTCCCATCACATTAACGTTAGCCAACCAGCAATAATCACCAGCTAGCCGCTATCCTGCCAACATGTTAGCGCTTGGTACGTTGTGCTGCCTTATTTAAATAAAGCCTATCCAAGTGAGATATAGGTCAGTGTACTTTAAATACACACGTTTTCCCGGACATTGTGTGTGTGTTTTTAAGTGTAACTGTAAGCACTTTGTACCCTTTTTAAGCTTAAAGCCGGGGTCGTGTGAATGCTATTGACTCTGAAGTACCGTTTGCTAGCTAGCAGCAGACTTGCCAGTGTATTCAAACAGAGACTGGGTGGGCAGGCATGCTATATTTAGCAAGGATTCTTGCACGGCGACATTCATTGATACACTGCTCACTGAATGTTGTCAACCTAACGTTACTTATCTGGTAATCCCCAGTTGACTTCAGTACTTTGAACTTTTTTCTTTCAGGAGACTCCTAAGTCTGGCAAAGTGGGCAAGAGTGGAGGACAAGAGAATTCAGAGCATGAGGTAGGCTAACCCAGGACGGCACTTTACTAGAAAACACGTTTAAATGATATTACATAGTTACTGTTTGAAAGTGGACTGCCTTATCAGTGAATCAGTGACATAATGAATGAACAAGCTCAACCCCTACATTATTGATGTCCTCTACAGTGATTCTGTTGAAGGTCTGTGAATAATGACTCAGATGATTATAAGATAATTCCCTCAGATCAGTAAACTAATCTATTGATGATGGGAAATCTTTTTAGAATAGCAAACAAGTTGTATCACATTATTTTTCATATCTGATAGAATTGTTATAGATACAAGGTTGTTTATGTCATGTAAACCCCAGTTTATTAATAGAATAGGGAGTGGTTGGTAGGTTTTTAGGCTGTAGTGCCTTTGTAACTGTGTCAGTCCCTGATATGGTATATTTTTCCACATGTAAACAGTGAGTCCTGAGTGTGAGTCCCCTTACTTCTGTTTAAGTGTCAGCCCCGCCTGCTCCTGTGAGACGGGGGGGCACATCTGTCCTGAGGGTTCTTCCATTATTACCTTTTAAAGGTCTTCTTTTATGGTGGAGATTTTCCTTATCTGAATTGAAGGCCTAAAGATAGATGGTGTTATACACTGTACAGATTGTAAAGGCCTGTTGTGATTTGTGATATGGTCTTGACTAGTAAAGCATGCACTCAAATAGAGGGCAGAAAACCTCATGTGGAGTGGAAGGAGAAAAGCTTGCTCGATTTAGGCCTCATGACTCTTTGAAGGTATTTGGCTTCAGAATCCTTCTTGTGGCCAAGTTTTGTCGTTTATCAAATAAGGGGGGTTTTCACTGTTAGATCGCAGCTTTTGTGACCTTTTGTGATATAAAAGGCATCAACTTTTGTTCACATACTAATACTGAATGTGTGTAGGTTCAGACCACAGTGACATATGTTAGTATACTCTACTCTAAGCTATCTTGTAACCACTGGAATCCTGTTTAGTGAGAAGTGAATTGCAGGTTGAAGAGTCAGTGGGGAAAAATCAGTGGAATTGTGACTAAACTTTTCCAAATGAGAATCTCACATAGATGCAGTGTGCTGAGGAGCTTAGTGGTGGCAGGTTAGCCGGCTTCTGTTGATGAGTAGAGTGGTCATCGGCAGGATTGGGTTGTACCTGGATCATTGTTGCCCTTCTCATGAGTCATGCTGCTGTTTGTTGATAACCTGGTGCTAAATTGCTTGTATATGACACTGAACCTCAGCCTTTCAATGGAGTTCACCAAGGTCTCTCCACTATTTCACTGTTTACTTTTCACACAATGCTTAAGAAAGTGCAAGCTTTTATTCAGTATTAATGTACTTTACAAATCCTTTCCAGTACTGCTGCCATGTATATTGCAGTACACAGTTAAAAGGCTAATACTGAATAAAATCAATAAAATATAATTGGTATGAAGGTTGTATTGTAATAATACAGGGGGACACATAAAATGACTTAAATGTTATAATATATAATAGAATATAATTTAATCAGAATTATAAAGGAAGCTAGATGAGCAAGTCATGAAGCACATAGTGGGATCCTATTGTAGTTACTTTAATATCAGACTTCAAGCGTAACATGAGGCAATCAATATAGTTCCAATGAGAGTCTAAACTGTCCCTGTCATACTTGCTTGTCCATTAATTGTTACAAAAGAAATCAATGTATGATGTGGCAAGGTCAACAGTCTCATGAACAAATGTGAACTAGCAAAAAAGATTGGTAGTATTTAAGTCAACAAAATGAAATGGTGACCACTCTACAGGTTCACAGAGGTAATAGAGGTCATAAATCTAACAAAAACAGTTTGTTGTGAGCATCTTAAGGCTGGAATTTGTCACAAGATTGCCAGAAACCCCTTGTATCAAAAGCTAATGCGTCAATGTATGCACGCTGCCAAGATGTGTAATAAAATGGTGAGAAATGGTTATATGATATGACTAGCCAAACACTTTTTTGCATACATCTGGATTGGGTCACATCTGGCAAGGCCAAAGGGGAGCCGATGTTGAATACCCAGAATGAAGGATGACAAATGGTGTTGGTCCTGTAATAACATTTGGTTTTGATTGTCACATTAGTGCACTACATGGTCATGTACTGTATTTGTAAAACTGTATGAGGGCATTGAGTAGGGACCAGGTGCTGAGGTTTACAGTATGGTTTGGACACTGTTCTCATGATTTACCTCTGTTCCAACATAAAATGCATCTGTTAAAAAATTCAACAAACAACGGATCCAACTTCTTTCACGACCTCTTTTATCACCATATCTAAACATCACTGAACCATTATGGAAAGATTTCAAATTCTTTCATTCTTCAAAGAACTCTTTTTTTACTGGAAGTAAAATCTTGATGCACTCATTTCAGATCTGGTATGACAGCTGACATCTGTTTGTGCAATTTGAAAAGCAAAAGGAGGTCCTCCTCCTACTAGACATTTAATATTCATAGTGTAAGGCCTGTTCAACACCTGTTTGTATTTAAGTGGCTGCTATAATATACTGTCCAGTTGCACACATGTCAGTTACAAGGCTTAAAGAAAGAATCTATTTTGAAACCCATTTAAGAAAGAATGGTATATATTTTATTTAAATGTCACTTTAATGTATGTCTCACAAAATAGTTTTTTATTCTTTGTCTCAATGTAAATTAGTTATGCAAAATGTTTATCCATGTTCCCTCCACTGTTAGCTTTTTCCTCTGTGGTTTCAGCCTTCCGGCCTTCTCTTGCTGGATAATAGCAAGTGATAGCAGCAATCAGGATTGCTGTTGTGTGTCAGCAGCCATGTAACAGATCTACTACTGCACCAGCCGTGTGAGAGATTGAAATTGCTCGGCTGCAAGCTGTTGTTGTTACCCCTCACCCTTCCTTTTATCCCATATAAGTGGTAACCAGAAGTGACGAGACTGAAGGGAGTGTTTATAATATATAGGATGGCTTAATTTGCTGCCTCGGTACCATATCAGCGATGAGATACATTCAGTTCATTCAATTATAAAATCATAGATGACAGATGTTTCCACTTCGGCTTAATGAACTCACAAGTAGAAGAGTTAACTCCTATCTTTGTATTGCATGAATATGATATCTAGTTTATAATAGAGGCCAGCTCAGCTTTATTTCCCACTTTACCTGACAGCTTGCATGCCCAGCTCCTAAGCTCACGTCTAGTGCTGCAGACTGTGGCCAACTTTAGCTGAGTCTTAAATGAATTTAATCATTCCCCTGTGACTCTGACTGAAACAGCTCCACAGCTGCATCTGTTGAAGTAAGCTTTGTGCCATCAGGTGTGTGTTGATGAATGGATCCCAGCAGGCAGGTGGGACCAGCTGTGAGAAACTTGCCACATTCAGTTGCTCCCACATCAGGATTATATCCAGCCCTACAAACCCTTCTGGTATTTTGAAGTGGATAAAAAAAATCTTAATGGTTTGGTTTTTTTTTCATGTGAACTTGAAGAGTTCCTCAAATAAATGTACTGTTATACATAGTATATGTAGTATTTCTATTGGGTAAGTGTGGTTCATGACCGTAGTTACATAATGCAAGACACTGTTTTGTAAATTAAATACTGTATGAAGAAAAAAACGTCCCATGGTGTATGGCGGTCGGACTGCTCGGCTAGTGGCTACATGCACACAGTTTTATCAGATTTCTAAGGAGGTTAGTTGCACTCTCTTTTATTCACTTGCACTACCTCAGTGACACTGATGTGGTTTTTTCTCTTGTTTCAGCAGAGCTCTAACAGGAAGGCTAGCAATAGTGTTCCTCCCACCACTCAGCTGCTAAAGGGGAAGCAGCCAGGTTCCCAGACACCTGTCAAAAAGGACAAGAGACAGAGCTCCTCTCGCTTCAGCTTGAGCAACAACAGGGAGCTGCAGAAACTGCCTGCTTTTAAAGGTATTTATGGATACAACAACTAAATCCTGTCATCTAATCACATAATTAACTAACTAGTTTTGAAGTTGTTGCATATACATGTACACATGCAAGCACAGCCTGCCAGGCTTGAAGGTTTTGAACTCAGTTGTGGAGTCAAATTGCCTTTTTTTGTGTGCAAAAATAATACATTTAAAATGTTTTGAAACCTGAATTGAAGCCTTAAGAAATCGCCCAGAGCAGAATTTTCCTTTAGGCATGCGGGTCATTACATCCCTGTAATCTTGACAGAGATAAGTGCAGGCCTCACACATATGCACACTCAGGTACACACTCAGTTATTCACTCACTCTTTCCACAATGAAATATCTATGAACATCCCCTACTGCATCACCCTCATTTTAATACCAAGCTGAGCATGACATTACGCAATACATGGAAACAGAGGACGTACATGGCATGGACTTTGTGCTGGATTTATCCCAAGCGTCTATATTTAGTGGTAATCCAGAGATAAAGCTTTAATTCCATGGACCTTGTATTTCAGGATGTTGCCAATGACCAGCACTGTCTGGCAGCTTTACTTCTATTCTTTCTCTTCTTCCCTCCTTTATAGCAGAGAACATTGGATCTTTGCAGATGTATATTGATGTTTACTTTGAATGTCAAAGCTCAGGGCCAGCATGGCACCAGATGGAAAAGCAGGAGTGGATGCTACCGTTAGGCCTCTGGGCATATTATCTATGCACGTTTCTGTGTACATGCATGCATGAATACACACAACATCGTTGTCTGCTGCCTTTTCCTGGCACTTCAAAAATAATTATATAACTTTATATAACAACCTGAATTGTATTGAACTTTATCTCGCTGTTTCATAAGGGGAACAAAGCACATGTGCACAAGCATCAGTACATTACAGCACAGGCATTTTGCTGCGACACACTGCATGTTGTACACAGTCTCAGTATTTGTATGTGTGCAATGGTGGCTTGTACGTCAGAACTTAAGATATGGCAACTCCCCATTTAAAGAGGGACGAGTAGATACCATCTGAGAAACCAGACTTCTCAAGACAGCCTTTGCTGTTAGCCACTAAAAATACATTAACATGATTTTATTTAATTTATTTTGTTTGTTTTTTTAAGAAAAGAGTGCCTTTGTTTTTTTTTTTTTCCTTCCTCTTCCTCGCTCTTAAAGTCTGAATACCCTACTTGCAATGAGCCATGGCTACAACAAATTAGAGCAAAGACAGCATTCCTCTTCAGGGAGAATTTACAAATGTTATTTCTCTCTTTGAGAGACTTGACAAAAGGCGACAGCAGCTGTTGTGATTTGTTCACCTTTCAGACTTTTCTGCAAGATTAGAATTAATGGATACACAAAGGAGTTGATTCTACCATAAAGTATACCTGTATCTTTATCTTGGTTAGCCATTACCCTTGTACTGTGTCAAGAAACCAAAAAGAATAAATGAATTTCTGATAAAGGCTGCTCATTTCCCACACCCCAATGAAAGCTTTGATAACATTCTGCAAAACATTATCCCACAGTGGCCCGGTAGATGTTATCACTTAGTCCTGTCCAAACATGCTCCTCGCTTGGCCTATTTTCTCTCCAGGCATGTTCACCACCTCCTGATGGAAACACATGTCCGAGAGCTCGTCCTGCAGAGCCACAAGGCAAGACTGAAGAAAACAATAAAACCCTGACCTGAAGCTGGCCTTTCTACTATAAACTAGCCTCAAAACAAATTGTGCTTCTTGTGACTGCAGAGTACATTTTAACTGTCCCAGCACAGCAGTTTGAATTCTTCCTGTTGAAGACATGATCTAGTGAGCTTGTTTTTTTTTATGAGGCTCTACCAATGTACATGATCTATAAATTAGTGTTTTAGATAAACATTTGCAGGAGAGCTATCTGAATAACGCTTGTAAACAGAATATATATGCTCTAAAGGGGCCTGTGTATGTCACTGTGGTCTCGTTTCAAGAGTGAACGTACTTGCCAAAAAGCACATAACAACAGTTGTTGCCTCTGTATGTGTTCTCCTTTAAAGCAGGAGCAATCCTGCATGAAGCATCTGTCTCATAGGGTTTGTCGCCATCTGCTGGTTAGAGTATCAAATAATTAATTTACTGTAATGTTCGTTAACTGGGACAAATATTTCCATTATCAGGTCAGTAATGTAATATAATCTACCCCTGATATTTCAGCCGTGGAAAACAACCCTGATTCTAATAGATTAATTGAAGTGTTTTTGCAGATAAAGGCATATCGTCTGTGTTTAACAAGCCAAGTAACAAGTTATTTAACATCGACAGCAGTTTGGAACTAAGAATGTTTTAGTTTGGCACATATTTTTCAAACAAAGTTTTCTTTTGAAGGATACTAAAGGAATCCATCAGTTACTACAGAAGTTACATCACTCACTATAGAAACAGTGTCTAATGCTTTTTGCTTTAAATAGTAAGCCTTGTGTAGTGTTTGCTTAGCATTTATAAGACTAGTATGTGTAGGCAACACTGACACATGAGCAGATTCAAACCTATTGTACAAGAATGTTTAATGTTAATCCCATCTTTGTAAAGTTGTTTGCATATATTTTCTGTTTTTACAAGTTATCTTGTTTGTTTTTTAACAGCCAGGTTAAAGATTTTAGTGTATGGCAGGGTAGACACTGAAACTCATGTAGATATATATTTTTTTAACGTAGTGGGCAGATACTTAAAGCAGGATGCGAAAGGGCAAGGCAGGTTTCAGGGAAGGGTTTCCTGTCCCACTCCTGCAGGTGGTAGAGGAAAAGACAAACACATTATCTGCAGAGGATAGTTTGTGTCCACCCTGGATCATTTTTCAAACTTTAATTATTCTCTCCGGTATACATTGTATACATCCAACAATAACAATTTTTGGCATATTGTCTTGTGTATAATGGTATTTGTAAACAATGATTCTCACTGTACAGAAAAGGGCATTATCCATACAATTATAATTAAATCTTTCTCAGTAATGTAACACAGTTTTATTGGCTGTTTTTATGGTGATTTCTATTGAGTGTATTCAGCTTACAGCCATGTGGCCGCAGGTGTTTCCACTTAGCATGTCCAACATTTATGATTGGCTGTGTCCCAAAGTAATAGTCCCAATATAATTGCAGCTGAGAATCTGAACTGTTTGTCCTTATTATAATATTATATATATTATATATAATATTTTCAGTCTTTATATGAAAGTAATACAGAGCTGCCATAATGAGCTTGACATCTCTAATTTGAATACATCCATCACTTAGTTGTTTTAGTGTTAGAGTAAGCAGATGAAGGAATGAGGAATTGATCTAGGATACTGACAGAGCTACGTTTCTATCATTGGAAGCTGCTTAAAGGGAAAATTAAGCTCAGCTCCTGTTAAAAGAGCCTCAGCTGTGTTGATTGGTCTGTTTCTCTAAATAGATTTGAGCCTTAAGCGCTTATTTTAGAGGACAATGACAATGATGATCAACAGACCTGGAAATGAACCACTCAACTGTGTATTTTAAGCTGGCCCGCTGCTATCAGTGATGAATTTAGAGAAAGCTCTGCTGTAACACAAGCGAGCACACTCTCTCCATCCCATCCAGGACCAGACTCATGATGCCTCACAAGTTCACTCTCTTTCTACTGCCAGAAATAGCACAGACAGAAAAAAAAAAAAAAAAAAGCTCACGCCTGACGAATGCATGTGCCAAAGGAGCTTTTGGAGAGTATTTGTAACAAGTGGGTGTGTTAAGCGTTGTCTTGTCTTGGTCAGAACAACAGATCTTCTGATGGGAGGTTGCCCCATGACTAGGGAAGAGTATAGCAAGACAGAGCCTTTTATATGCTCAGACTAGACCCTGCTGCTGAAATACTCCATTATTGTATATATTTAGGACCAGCCAGACTGGATGTTGGACTGCCGCACTGCTAAATTGTGTTTGGTGATTAGATCATTATGCTGGGGATGTAGCCTAGTTTGAGACATTCAAGGTTTCTGACATTGCTAACTGGCTTACAGTTTCTAGCCAGTGTAGCAAAAGCAAACACTAGTCAAACCAGAAAGCTGGAAGAATTAGATTAGGGAGAAAAACTGAGGGAAATTGATGATCCTGTGTTCTATTTTTTATACTCAAGAGTAAGCTTACTGGATAGGATTAACTAGCATGGCTTTATCCTTACATTTTACCAATACAACATCATTTCTCAAATCAACTGTCTGGCACATGTCACCCCCCTATATGATGATCCTAAATTAAACAAGCAGCACAAATACGTAAGTGAGAACTCATCCAGTTGCACAAAATCAACATTTGTGAAAGAATGTAAACTTTAATACTGCACTCTGCAGTCTATTATACTTTTACACTAAAACAACACTGCTCAGCAGGAGATGGGAAGATACACTAGCAGACACAAACAGGCCATTGAAATCAGGGGCTCTAGCCAAATGCGACATACAGACTTGAACCACCCTAACACCTCCTGCATCTCCAGCGCAGATGTATAAACCCACAGGGAGGAGTTGTGACACGCTATTATGTGTTAAAACTGTTTAGCTCTCTGAAAACCCAAATAAGGCCAAACCAAAATAAAGAATTTTTTTGCACACACATTACATAAGTAACTGTAGACAAAGTGACTCTTTGACCTAAAAACACACTGCTTTGATTGTGAAAGTCTGCAAAAGGTCCCCAACTATATTATATAAAAGTGTTTTTTAATTTAGACCAAAGTTTACAGCTACATCTGCTGGGGAGAAAAAGAAACATCTTTAGCAACAAATCACTTTTTTCACATTTAAAAACATGGATATGAATTAGACTTTATAGAAGTGTACATTTTATTAATTTAGATGTTTCTACTATGTGTCACCTTATCTAATTTTGACTAACCTCCACTTACAGTAACAATAATGAGGAGTCTAAAATAATGCTCAAACTAATTTTTAGATGTGTTTTAGATGTGTAAACTGTGGAACTTTGGTCTTAGCAAAAAGGATGC